TAAAAATATAAACACATTTAATATAACTATTATAAAACTAATTGTTTAAGATGTATTCTGAGTGCATATTTATGTGCGAGTATTCTATTCTATTCTATCACCAATTTAATTTTTACTTTTTAAATATTGAATAAAAAATATATCATTAAATAGTTAATTAGAAGGATAAAATGAAGAAAAAATATGAAATAATAAGATTAATTAACAATAAAAGCAAAAGTTGAAAATAAAATCATGAGCTAAATTAACAAAGAAAGAAAGAAAGAAAGAAAGAAAGAACAAAAAAAAGCAGGCACAATTAAAAGAAAAAGAAAAAAGAGCTTTATTGTTTTTAATTAGTTTTTATAATTAAAAATATCACAATCCAAAACAAATAAACTGTTTTTACCAAAGGTTAAGTGTCAAATTTGTGAGATTAATGCACTTTGCTAAAGCAGAACCTAAGCCTGATGCACCTTCATCACCAATATTATTTCACTTTTTAAATATTGAAGAAAAAATATATCATTAAATAGTTAATTAGAAGGATAAAATGAAGAAAAAATATGAAATAATAAGATTAATTAACAATAAAAGCAAAAGTTGAAAATAAAATCATGAGCTAAATTAACAAAGAAAGAAAGAAAGAACAAAAAAAAGCAGGCACAATTAAAAGAAAAAGAAAAAAGAGCTTTATTGTTTTTAATTAGTTTTTATAATTAAAAATATCACAATCCAAAACAAATAAACTGTTTTTACCAAAGGTTAAGTGTCAAATTTGAGAGATTAATGCACTTTGCTAAAGCAGAACCTAAGCCTGATGCACCTTCATTCACCAATTTAATTTCACTTTTTAAATATTGAAGAAAAAATATATCATTAAATAGTTAATTTGAAGGAAAAAATGAAGAAAAAATATGAAATAATAAGATTAATTAACAATAAAAGCAAAAGTTGAAATAAAAATAATGTGCTAAATTAACAAAGAAAGAAAGAACAAAAAAAAGCAGGCACAATTAAAAGAAAAAGAAAAAAGAGCTTTATTGTTTTTAATTAGTTTTTATAATTAAAAATATCACAATCCAAAACAAATAAACAGTTTTTACTAAAGGTTAAGTGTCAAATTTGAGAGATTAATACACTTTGCTAAAGCAGAACCTAAGCCTGATGCACCTTCTGCACCAATTGAATTAGACCTTTTTAAATATTGAAGAAAACATAAATCATTAAACAGTTAATTTGAAGGAAAAAATGAAGAAAAAATATGAAATAATAAGATTAATTAACAATAAAAGCAAAAGTTGAAATAAAAATAATGTGCTAAATTAACAAAGAAAGAAAGAACAAAAAAAAGCAGGCACAATTAAAAGAAAAAGAAAAAAGAGCTTTATTGTTTTTAATTAGTTTTTATAATTAAAAATATCACAATCCAAAACAAATAAACTGTTTTTACCCAAGGTTAAGTGTCAAATTTGAGAGATTAATGCACTTTGCTAAAGCAGAACCTAAGCCTGATGCATCTTCATCACCAATTTAATTATTACTTTTTAAATATTGAAGAAAAAATATATCATTAAGAAGAAAAAAGATGAAATAATAAGATTAATTAACAATAAAAGCAAAAGTTGAAATAAAAATAATGAGCTAAATAAATAAAGAAAGAACAAAAAAAAGCAAGCACAATAAAAAGAAAAAGAAAAAAGACCTTTATTGTTTTTAATTAGTTTTTATAATTAAAAATATCACAATCCAAAACAAATAAACTGTTTTTACTAAAGGTCAAGTGTCAAATTTGAGAGATTAATGCACTTTGCTAAAGCAGAACCTAAGTCTGATGTACCGATTGCACCAATTGAATTAGACCTTTTTAAATATTGAACAAAAAATAAATCATTAAATAGAATAAGTTGCCATACAAATTTTCAAAAAAAAAGTGAGTTTTATATACCAGTTTTACATTTTATAAAATTAAAATATTAGTAAATTTTTCAAAATTTATTTAAAAAAAAAATGATAAGTTATAAGAATATACGGTATGCATATATTATTTCAAATTTTACATTTTGTGAATTTAAAGCTTTCTAAAAACTCAAAAATAAAGCTATTTTAAACTAATTTAGCTTAATTATTATGTTATTAAGAAAATATTATATTT